ACCCTATGTCTTTTGAATGGGGCATTTAATCCATTTATATTTAAAGTTATTATTAATAGGTACTTATTTGTCACCATTTTTATTCTATACCCCTGTGTTCCTTTCTCATTTCCTATTTCTTTTTTTATTTTTACAGCAGACCCTTTAGCATTTCTTGCACTGCTGGTTTGGTGGTAATAAGTTCCCTTAGTCCTTTTTTATCTGTAAAGCTCCTGATTTCTCCTTCAATTTTGATTGATATCCTTGCTGGGTACAGTATTCTTGGATTTAGACCTTTCCTTTGCATGATGTTGTATATTTCATTCCATTCCCTTCTGGCCTGGTGAGTTTCTGTGGAGAAATCAGTTGCTAGTCTGATGAGGTTCCTTTATGTGTAACTTTCTGTGTCTCTCTGGCTGCTTTTAAGATTCTTACTTTGTCATTGGTGTTTGCCAGTTTGATTATAATATGTCTTGGCATCTGTCTTTTGGGGTTCATTTTCCTTGGGAGTCTGTGAGCTTCTTGGATTTGTGTGGGTTTTTTCTTCTCTATATCAGGAAAGTTTTCTGTCATTATTTTTTCAAACAGGTTTTCTATGCCTTCCTCAGTTTCCTTTCCTTCTGGGACCCCTACATACGAATATTATTTTGTTTTGTATTGTCCCGAAATTCCCTTACGCTCTCCTGCTTTTTAATTTTTTTTTCCCATAGAAGCTGCTCTAATTGGGTATTTTTTCTATCTTGTCTTCTAGCTCACTGATGTGGTCCTCTGCTCCTTCTAGTCTAAAATTGATGCTTTCCATTGAGTTCTTAGCAATGTCATTTTTCATTTCTTCTTGGTTCTTCTTCATTTCCTCTTGGTTCTTACTCATATTGTCAAATTTGTCTTCCATTCTTTTTAGCCAACCTATGATAATTTCTCTGAATTCTTTCCCTGATAGGTTGCTTGTCACTAATTTGCTTACTTTCTTTTCTGGTGATGCCTGCTTTTCTTTCATATGCAGGCTGTTTCTTTTTCTCTCCATGGTCTCTCTTTTCAGCGTGTCTGGTTATGTAGTTCTCTCTCCTGCGTTGATTTAAAGGCACAAAATACGACACAACCAGGTACAACACACAAGGCACTGAACAGAAGTGTGTTTGTGATATTAATAACCTCCAATAAAGGTTAGAAAAGGGCAAATTAGGAGATATGAGAGAAAGAAGAAGAGTAAAAAGGGAAGAGAAAAAGAAAAAGAAAAAGGATTGTCAATATGAAATTTGAAAACAGGGGGAAAAAATAAGATAGACAAGAATGAGACTAAGAGAGAAAAGGGGTACAAACTATATATATGGTGGGAAAATTCCAATAGAAGAACTACTAATCCTAGCAAATGCCAACAATAGTACTTGGAGATTAATACAAACTACAACAGCCACTAATATCAAGTGAGGTAAGGGAAAACAGAAGAAAAAAACAACAAAGAAAAACAAAGCAAATAAAAAATACCATGCAACAACAACAACAAAAGAATAACCAAAACAATCTCACTAAAAAGCATAAAAATTCAATATAATCAACATTCACGCACACAACAACAAAAGGACCTTTAGAAAAACACAATTTATTTTCTTTTCTTTTTTTTTTAATTAAGACAGCGAAGAGAGTGGTGTGTATGCACTTGGAGGAGGGGATTGGAAATTAGATATGAATAAGGAAAATCTAAAGCAGGAAAGGGTTAAGATAAACAGGACTTCAAAAGGGGAAAGGTTAGGAAGAGAATGATGGCATAAAGGTTGTATTGTTACAGGGTTAAATGATGCTAAAGGAAAGATGAAAATAGAATGAAGAACAATAATCCCAATGTAAAATAAAGAGAAAATAAAATGGCACTTAACAAAAAGAAAAAGGAAACAAAAAAGGTAAAATAGCAGTTGTAATAATGGTGATTGAAACTAAAAAGGTAATAATTAAAAAGGTAAAATCAGTGAGGATAAAATGGGAAAAATTGTTTCTTAAGTAAAAGGTGCAAAAAATGAAAATAAAATAAAATAAATAGCATAAAAAAATGTGCAGTAGTGAAGGTCATTCACTTCCTCTGTTATTCTGTTTGGCACGCCTGTTTCTCAGACCTGACAGTATTGCAGTTCCCTGTGTCCCACTGCACCTCGGGGTTGAAAGCTAGTCCTTATTTTTAAGTATGGGGTTTTTTTATTTCTTGTGTTCTTTTATTTTTGATTAAATAACACTAATAATAAAACGTCAGTTTGTAATTCAGTCCCTAGGTGGCAGTGTTTCTGGATTGACTTCCCCATCTTTTTGGCTGCTCTAGCCTTCTTTCTCTTTGTCATTCAATACCGATTCATGGTCGTGGGCTGCCTCCAAGCTGGCTCTCACATGGTCTCTCCCCCCTCTGATCCCCAGTTTCCAAAAAAAGCAATTTCCCCCTGAAGTCTCCCAGGCTATGCCAAACTGGGTGGTCTTTGCTTGATAATCAGAAGCAAGGGGATGAAGTGGGAAAAGCCCAGGTGTGCGAAAGATGGGTCTGTGTGCAAGTTCAAGCAGACTGCACATCTTTCAAATTCTTATGCTCTCTCTCCGTGTCAGATCAGAATGGATTGCTTTTTAGAGATAGATTCCGTTAGCCACATCGAGGAACCCCTTCCACATTCACAGATCACGCTAGACCCAATAGCTGGGGACTTTTGTGGGCACAGACTTCCCTGATCCTCAGGGTCTTGCAGCATGGCTTTTCACTCTGCCACCACTGCTGCCTCCACCGCAGCCACCGCTTCCACTACCCAGATAACTCACATTATCCAGGCAAAATCTGACCTTTCCATGCTGGTGAAGAGCTCCCTTTAATCCCTGTGTTTGTGCCGATTGGGGCGTCACAGCTGTTCCATGGTCTCTAGAGTTGTGGGTTTTTCAAGCCTCAGATAAGATCCACTTTTCCTTGCAAGATGAAGTAGTTTTCCCTCTAAGCCCATAGCTCCAGGAGAGGTCTCAGCTGCAGTATGGACTGATTGGTCAGGGAACCTCGATCCCCACCTTCTTTTAGAGTTCTGCTATCCCTTAGCTTGCCAACAAACTCTCCCCAAGCGACTTTCCATCACTACTTCTATTTGTTCCGGGACTAGGATCAGAACAAGTCTGACTATTCTGCCACCATTTTTGCCCCTCACAGCCTATTTCTTCTTTTTACAACAGACACTTTAGCATTTCTTGCATTGCTGATTCAGAGGTAATAAACTCCCTTAGTCCTTTTTTGTCTGTGAAGCTCCTGATTTCCCCCTCAATTTTGATTGATAGCCTTGCGGGGTATAGTATTCTTGGATTCAGATCCTTCCTTTGCATGAGTTTGTATATTTTATTCCATTCCCTTCTGGCCTGATGTGTTTCTTTTGAGAAATCAGTCACTAGTCTGATGGGGAATCCTTACATAGATCCTTGTATGTTTCTCTCTGGCTGCTTTTAAGATTCTTACTTTGTCATTGGTATTTGCCAATTTAATTATAATGTGCCTTGGTGTCGGTCTTCTGTGGTTCATTTTGTTTGGGATTCTGTGTACTTGTTGGATTTGTGTGAGTTTCTTTCTTCCTTATATCAGGGAAGTTTTCTGTCATTATTTTTTCAAACACGTTTTCTATTCCTTGCTCAGTTTCTTCTCTCCTTCTGTCACCCCTATTATGCATATTTTGTTTTGTTTCATGTTGTTCCAAAGTTCCCTTAGGCTCTCCTACTTTTTAATTTTTTATATATATATAGAAGCTGCTCTGCTTGGGTATTTTTTCCTACCTTGTCTTCTAGCTCACTGATACATTCCTCTACTTCTTCTAGTCTACTGTTGATGCATTCTATTGAGTTCTTTATAGCAGCATTGTCATTTTTCATTTCTTCTTGATTTTTCTTCATTTGCACTTGGTTTTTACACATATTGTTGAATTTGTCTTCCATTCTTTTCATCCCCTTAAGACCATGTCTCTGAATTCTTTCTCTGACAGGTTGCTTGCCTCCAATTTGTTTACTTCCTTTTCTGGAGATGGCTCCTTTTCTTTCATATGTGGGCTTTTTCTTTTTTGTCCCCATGATCTCTCTTCTCCACGTGTCTGGTTATGTAGTTCTCTCTCTCCTTATCATAGGTGAAATTTGACTTTTCTGTGAGAAGTTTCAGAGTTCTTCCCAGTCCACATATTCACATTGCTTGGGTCTGGTGTTCCTGGGTTCGCAGCTGCTCACTGAGTGTTGTTGTATATTCCTGGGATGTTTTGACTTCTGATAACATCCACTCTCCCCTTCAAGATGGCATGGTTTCTGTATCAGAGCCAGTTGCTCTGGGAAAGATTTCAGAAGCAGTGGAGGCTGCCTTGTCAGGGAACCCCATCTGGAAATCCCCTAAGTCCCTTGGAGTATAGCTGTCTCTCAACTCACAAATAAATACTTCCTGTGCAGCACACTCTCCTTTTGTTCTGTCACTCACACACTATCTTGCAGTCTGCCTTCCCGTTGGCATCCATCTTCAACTCCTGAGCTTTAGTTCTTTTATCACATTTCCAAGTCTTCATTCACCAATGTTTTATTAAATCTGCATTTTTAGTAAAACTAAATTGCATTTAGCAAATCTACTCTTGCATTCTTTTAATATTCTTAGTTTTCAAAAGCTATAAATGATATTCAGCTGAAAAAGTCAAACTTCAGAGGGAGGGGATAGTGGGGGATAGGAGACCAACCAAATAATTTGTATGCATATAAGCATAACCAATAAATAGACAATAGAAGGGAGGGGACCTGAGCTGGGAGAGGACAGTGGGGAATAATGGGGGTGTATATAATACTTTCATCACTAAGAATAAAAAAGAAGAAGTATCTCTTTAGTGCCAAAACTGTGATATGTTCTCAGAGTAATTACAATATGTTCAATTGGCCTTGTACAATATTAAATTTATGTTCTGTAGATGACAAACTATGACTTATTTGAATTGCCTTGTTTCTATGTGTCTGAGCTGTCCCAAGTCTGTTTTATTTGACACTGCTTTGTCATGCAGGGTACATCAGAGAAGGGTTCCTGGCTGTGCAGCATGCCTTAGATAAGGCCATCATGCAGTACCATGGATACCGTGCTGCCCAGAAGCTGTTTGATGGCATTAGTGTTCTTGTACAGAGGTTTCCACATCCAGCTTATTCTAGAGACCTGTTATTGGAAATCATTAGTGTTCAATTCCCTTTGATGTTCATATTCATGTTCTCTTCAATTGTACTTTCCATCATGCGAAATCTTGTGTTGGAAAAAGAAAAAAGATTGAAGGTAATCCCAATTATTTTCTGATAAAGTTTCTGTAAACTTATTTTTATGCCTATGGAGTTCTTCTAAATGGAGAGTTAGACTATTTCTACATATTCAGCATTGGTAGGTAGTTGTTATACTCAGTGGCAGCAAATTACATCTCAGGATCAGCAAATATATGACAGAAACTGATGCAACTTTCCAATTTTCCAAGCTGGCAGCATTGCAGAGGCAAACCATCTCTGGGAAGCAACAAAAAGAAAAAACGTGAAGGCCAAGAAGTCACTAGTGGAATTTTTAGTCTCTAGTACCTAGGAACCTCAAACACAGTTCACACCTCACTAAATTAACATGAATCCCCAATCTTTTGGTCTATTTACCTTGGTGGCTACAGCCCTAGCTAACATGTATGGGTTTCAACAAAAAATTGCAAAGCACATCAAAAATTAAGAAATGACAGTCCAAAGAGTCAAATTAGTTATCAGAACTAGACTTAAATAAGACAGAGATGTTGGAAATATCAGACAAGAAATTTAAAATTATTATGATTAGTAATTTAAAGGCTCTAAAGGGAAAGGTACAAGTGTCCAGATCTTCAAGACCACCCCCATTTTCTGAAATGCAGCAGTACTCATCATATAGTTATACTCACATCTGGAAATTATTATAGTGTTGTAGTAAATACCCGTAGCTGGGTCATAAGAGGAAATTACCAGGGAAAGCCTAGAAAAACTAACCTTGCAAACACGACATCCTAAAAGTCTTAAGCCTCCTCTGTTAGCTCTTTTCTGCACAGTGGAAAACATGCAAGATCAGACAGTTAATGCTATCAGAGAGAGAAAAAACTATAAGAAGGAGTTAAAGGAAAATTATAGAAGTCAAAATATGCTAACAAAAGAGAAGAATGGTTTTGACAGACTCATCAATACATTTGACCTTGATGAGGAAAGAATCAGAGAATTGAATAAAACAATTGAAATTATACAAGCTTAAAGAGAAAACAAAATTTAAAAATTCAGAAAAGAGCATACAAAAAGTGTAGGACAATATTAAACGGTATAACATGTACATAACTGGAATCCCTCTTAGAAGATATGAGAGAATAGAGCTAACAGGAGAGTATTATGCTAAGTGAGAAAAAGTAGGCTAGCGAGAAATAGACAAATATCACATGATCTTGCTTATATGTGGAGTCTAATGAACAAAATAAACTGACAAACAAAATAGATCCAGAGACATGGAAGCATGCAACAGATGATTCTCAGAGTGGAGGTGGGGAGTGGAAAGAGATTAACCAAAGAATGTATATGCAAATAGGCATAACCCTAGGACACAGCAGTAGTGAGGTAAAGACCTGGAGGGGGTTGGGAGTAAGTGGGAGGGTATCAATGGGGAGGAAAAGGTAACATCTGTAATACTTTCAACAATAAATATACATTAAAAAAAATAATAGCAGAGTTTTTTCCAAAATCAGTGGTAGGTATCAAACCACAGGTATTAAACCACAGGTTAAAGAAACTCAGAGAACATGAAACAGGATAAATATAATACATCACACACACACACACACACACACACACACACACACACACAAGCACACAAATGCGTACTCATAAACACACACAAACACCTAGACATAATTATATTTAAATTGCTGAAAACCAAAGACCAGATGTTGAGAGCAGCCAGAGATGGAGAAAAGGCTACACTGTCTACAAGAAACAAGCATAAGAAGTATAACTGACTTCTAACTAACACTGGATTTTTAAAACAAAAAACATAGACACATTTCTCTAATATTCCAGGAAGCATACTACAATATAAAAGAGATCTTAATATTTCAGTTTAATTTGAAATGCTTTCCATTTTGGTCTAATACTAAGTGAGTACAGTATTGAAATCAGGAGAATTATATTATAATGCTAATACTGTACTTATTAATTCCGTAATTTTGACCAACATTCTTGATTTTTTGGACATTGCTTCTTCTCATTCACAAAAGAGAGATATTACCGATTTATATAGGTTTTATAGGAATTTAATTTTTAAAGTATATGAAAGCATTATGAATTACTGTTAGGTGTTATATTTGATTTGTGTTGACTTTCCTACAGGAGTACCAACTCATAATTGGAATTAAAAACTGGATGATCTGGACTTCCTATTTCCTCACAGTCTTCTTGTTTTATATAATTATTATCGCTTTGATATTTGTGTTATTATTTGCCAAGGCAAGTTTCTAACTTTGTGCTATCCAATCGTTATTTAATGAATCATTATGTAATGTTAAATCTTTAGTAGCCACTTCACATTTTAAAGAATAGAAAAAACAATTGAAATTATTTTATATAATAATCAATATATACAAAATATATCAACACACAATATACTTGAAAATTAAGATATTTTATTTGACATTCTTTTTTGTACTGACTGTTTTATATTTAAAACACATCTCAGTCCATATGCAATATCATCATTAGAAATACCTAATATGTACTTGACACTGTGTTTGTTTTTTAATTTAAAGTAACTAAAATTAAATGATAGTCACACTAGCTACCTTTCAAGTGTTCAGTAGCTAATGTGGTTCATGTCTGCTATATTGGATATCTTCCAAGATTGTAGCCTGCTGTAGCTATCCTCTGAGAGGGATGAGGTCATTCCTCTCTCGTGTGGACTGATTGGTCTCAGGTTGCCAGGAAGATGAAATTTGGCTTATATTGTCTCCACTATGGAGAGTCATAGGCTGCTGAACATCCAAGGGGGAAAAAACCAACAACACCAGAAACCCTTCTGTAAAAAATATGTTGTTTAGTTAATTTTCCTACAAATAAGCATCAGTCACTGACCAATGTGATCTACTACTTATGTAGGCCTTTCATTCCCCGCCTCTTTTCCCTTGTGTTTATGTGACACTACTTGTGGTGAGCCTTACATTGTCATATTGTTTTATTGTAGATTATCAAGGAGCCAATTTTCCGTTACAGTGACCAAAGTTTCATCTTTGTATTTTTTTTGTGTTATGCCATTGCTTCAATATGCTTTGGCTTTATGATTAGCACATTCTTCAATAAAGGTGAGTCTAAGACCTCCCCATATATAATGCTGCTTCTGTTCTAATTGACTAAAATGGGATCTTATTTGGGTGCTCCTTCTAGACATCTCATATATAGTCTTTGCGTGTGTATGTGTGTGTGTGTGTGTGTGTGTGTGTGTGTGTGTGTGTGGTGTGGTGTGTGTGTGTGTATGTGTGTGTGTGTATTTCAGAGAGGAAGGGAGAGGGAAAGATAGATAGAAACATCAATGATGACAGAGAATCATTGATTGTATTCTTTCTGCATACCCCTACTGGGGATCAAGCCCATAATCCAGGCATGTGCCCTGACCAGGAATTAAACCATGACCTACTGGTTCATAGGTCAACACTTAACCACTGAGCCACCTCTGCTGAGCTCATATGTATAGTCTTGACTTACATTCTATCATAGAATATGAATTGTATATGAAATGTTTAATAGAAGGTAAAGAGAACATTGAAAATTAATATGGCCCAATGTGTATATTAAAAAGTATATAAAATAAAATTTGTGACCAGTTAGAACTTAGGATAAATAAATAATGCTTTTTTGCAGAAGTTTATTTCTTTTTTAAACAATGTTTTTATTTTCCCACTTTTTAATTGAATTTATTGGGGTGATACTGACAAAATTAAAATTATACAAGTTTCAGGTATAGCATTCCAAAACACATCATCTGAACACTGTATTGTGCATTCACCACTGTAGGTAAACTCTGTCTGTAACCATTGATTCCCTCTATGAATGCAATTTAAATTGGAGGTTTATTTTATATTAACAGACTTTAATCCATTACTTTTAAAAAATGATTTAGTGTTTAAAGTATTACATATGTCTCCTTTTCCCCCCATTGACCTCTCCCTGGATACTCCCACCCTTCTAGCACATGCCCTCACTCCTTTAGTGTCTATATATCCATTGGTTACACTTATATGTATGCATACAAGTCCTTTGGTTGATCTCTTACCTCTGCCCCTGCCTTCACTCTGTTCCATGCTTCTCTAGCTCTATTTTGTTCATCAGTTTATGTTGTTCATTATATTCCACAAATGAGTGAGAACATGTGATACTTATCTTTCTCTGACTGGCTTATTTTGCTTAGCATGATGCTCTCCAGGTCCCTCCATGCTATTGCAAATGGTAAGAGCTCCTTCTTTTTTTACAGCAGTGGAGTATTCCATTGTATAGACATAGCATTGATTTTTAAGATGGGAAACTATATCCCTTTTTTAATCCACTCATCTGCTGATGGGCAATTAGGCTGTTTCCAAATCTTAGTTATTGTAAATTGTGTTTCTATGAATATAGGGGTGCATATACCCTTTCTTGTTGTTTCTGATTTCTTGGGATATATTCCTAGAAGGGGGATCACTGTGTCAAATTGGAGTTCCATTTTTAGTTTTTTGAGGAAACACCATACTGATTTCCACAGTGGCTACAGCAGTCTGCATTCCCACCAGCAGTTAATGGTCTATTTCTCCACATCCTCTCCAGCACTTGTTGTTTGTTGATTTGTTGATAATAGCCATTCTGACAGGTATGAGGATGGTACCTCATTGTCATTTTGATTTGCATCTCTCAGATGATGAATGACTTTGAGCATGTTTTCATATGTCTCTTGGCCATCTGTATGTCCTCTTTTGAAAACTGTCTATTTAGGTTTTTTGCCCATTTTTTGATTGGATTGTTTATCTTCCTTTGGTTAAGTTGTATAAATTCCTTATAAATGTTGGAGATTAGACCCTTATGGGAGATAACATTGGTAAATACTAGTATGTTCCTTCCTGCTTTCTTGTTGTTTTGTTGATGGTTTATTTTGCTGTGCAGAAGCTTTTTATTTTTATGTAGTCCCATTTGTTAATTTTGTCTTTAGTTTCCATTGCCCTAGGAGCTGTATTGGTAAAGGTACTGCTACAACAAATGTATGCTATTTTGCTGCCTATAGCATCGTCTAAGATTTTTACCATATAGTTTCCTGTCTTACATTTAAGTCCTTTATCTATTTTGAGTTTATTTTTATGTGTGGTGTAACTTAGTCGTCTAGTTTCATTTTTTTTTACATGTGTCTGTTCAATTTTTCCAATACCATTTATTGAAGAAACTGTCTTATTCCATTGAATGCTCTTGCCATCTTTGTCAAATATTCATTAGCCATAAAGATATGGGTTTATTTCTGGGCTCTTCATTCTGTTCCATTGGACTATATGCCTGTTCTTATGCCAGCAATTGGCTGTTTGAATTATAATGGCCTTGTAGTATGATTTGATATCCAGTATTGTGGTACCTCCCATCTTATTCTTCTTTCTCAAGATTGCTGTGGCTATTCAAGGTCTTTCTTGGTTCTATATAAATTTTGGGACTATTTTTTCTAGGTCTGTGAAATATGCCATTGATAGTTTAATATGGATTGTGTTGAATCTATAGATCACTTTGGTGGTATTGATGTTTTAATGTTAAGTCTTACTACCATAAACATGACATATGTTTCCACTTTTGTCTTCCTTAATTTTTTTCTTCCTTGTTATATAGTTGTTCAAGTACAGATCTTTTATCTCCTTGGTTAAATTTATTCCTATTTATTTACTTTCTTGCAATAGTAAACAGGATGGTTTTTTAAGTTTCTTCTTCTGAGAGTTCAATAAAGAACATTATAACTGATGAACAAAAAGATAGATACAAAGGCAGTAAAGCATCAAACAGACTGTCAAATTACAGTGGGAAGATTAGAGAGAGGTGGGAGTGATAAGAAGTCAATCAAAGAACTTGTATGCATGCATATAAGCATAACCAATGGACGCAAAATACTTGGGGGTGAGGGCTTGTATGGGAGTGGGGTCGGGGGGACAATGGGAAGATATGTACACATGTAGTACCTTAATAAACAAAAAAATTGGGGGGGGGATGTTACCAATTTCTGAATATTGATTTTGTATCCTGCAACTTCTGTAAATTTATTCATGAAATATAGTAGTTTTTGGTGGGGTCTTTAGGATTTTCTATGTACAATATCATGTCATCTTAAGGGAAATGCTTTTAGTATTTTGTCCATTGGGTTTAATGTTAGCTGTGGGCTTGTTATATATAGCCTTTATCATGTTAAGGTATGATCCCTCCATTCCCACTTTGCTGAGAGTTTTTATTATACAATTAGAGGCCCAATGCACAAAATTGGTACAAGAGAAGGTCTTCCTTCCCCCGGCTGCTGGCTCTGGCTTCCCTCTGGCTCCCGAGACCTGGGCTTCCCTCATAGCCCTGGCTTCGTCTGGAAGGTCATCAGGTATAACTAGCATAATAAGCTTTTATTATTATAGATTATTATAGAGGATGCTGGATTTTATTGAAGTTTTTCTGCATTTATTGGTATGATTATGTTATTTTTATCTTAACTTTTGCTTATGTGATGTATCACATTTATTGATTTGCAAATATTGTACCAACCTTGTATCCACAGAATAAATCTCACTTGGTCATGGATATATAGTCTTTTTATTGTATTTCTGGATCTGATTTGCTATTATGTTGTTAAGGGATGTTGGTCTATTATAATTTTCTTTCTTTGTTGTGTTTTATCCGGATTAGGATAAAGTTGGCTTTGTAAGAAGAGCTTCAGAATTTTTCTTCCTCTTGATTTTTTTAGAAATCTTTGAGCAAGATAGTGATAGTGCTTGGATGTTTGGTAAAATTTTCCCATAAAGCCATAAAGCCCAAGGCTTTTGTTGCTGAGAAGTTTTTTAAAATATATTTTATTGATTTTTTACAAAGAGGAAGGGAGAGGGACAGAGAGCTAGAAACACTGATGAGAGAGAAACATCGAACAGCTGCCTCCTGCACACCCCCCACCGGGGATGTGCTTGCAAACAATGAACATGTCCTTGAACAAAATTGAACCTGGGACTCCTCAGTCCCCAGATTGACACTCTATCCACTGAGCCAAACCAGTTTCAGCTGAGAGTTTTTAATTATTGCTTCTATTTCATCAGTTGTTATTAGTCTGTTCAGGTATTCTGCTTCTTCCATATTGTATGTTTCTATGAATTTGTCCACTTCAAGTAGCTATTTTGTTTTCATATAGTTGTTCATAATATTTTCCTAAAATCCTATGTATTACTGTGATGTCAGTTGTTACTTTGCTACTTTCATATCTGATTCTATTTGTTTGGGTC